AGTCTTTCCAGTGGTTCTCGAAAGAAGATTATTTTGGTATATTTCTCCACATCTGTTTTAGTGAGGTTCAACAATTCCATCATATTTGCACTGTTCAAGCACTCTGAATCAATAGTCGGTAGAAAGTTTTTCCAAGTTGTGGATGACACTTTGGGCATTAATTTGAACATGAACTTGTATTTTTCCGATACGACAAAGTAAATCATGCGTGGTTCAACATATGTCACATTATTATCTCGGCATGCGTTCTCAGCTAGTTTCACTCGTTTTGCACTCGCTTTCCAGCAGTTATAAGCATCCTTTTTCTCTGTGTCAGATGAATTCTGTAAGGCAGAACAGCGTTAGTTAAAACTGGAACCACAAACCAAAATGAATTACTCTTCAATGGGACAAATAGGTAACAAGGTTACCAACACAATATGGCGCATGCAAAGTACATTGATCTTATTTAAAACTCACCAGAGGTTGTTTGTGTGGTTCTATATGTTTCTCATGGTGTACAACACTGACATGACGATATTCCTTGTCCAAGGATTCTGGAATTATATTTCGAGACAATAATTGTTTTCACAATAGCAATGTGTTAATTGTTATAATCACCATGTTGCCCATATAACGGGTCGCGTCAAACTCACTCATTTCAACCATGGAGCACAGCGTAGAATTTCAATTATTCTAGTGGCAATGAAGACATCAAATTATAGAACTTCACATATAACTAAAACAAATAATACCTTCAACTTACCTATATTCAATTTTCTTGTCATAGATTTGTTATATTCAACCACAAGGAGAATACTCATGGTGATTAATACAATAGATATTATCTTTTTCGACCATGTTGGGATTGCCATGTTGTTGGAGCGTCTTTCCCTAATAGAATGCCAATATGAAAAAAAATTATGATTATGTTTTACGTAATCCCACCAAGTTGAACTTTTGTACATACACAATATGTTTGGCTTTAAGAGGTCGTCGGTTATTTATTTGTGACGACTAAGCAAACAGCCCCCTGAGATATGATGATGAGCTAAATTGTCAAAATTTGTGTATGTCCTTATTAAAATATATACGCTGATCGATTTTGGTTCAGCAAATAAATCACAGATGGGTGCAATTTGCGCTAAGGTAAAATACAATTAAGTTTGGCAGCCCCTTTATGTAACCTTGAAACTGTATTAAGCATAGTTGTACTATGGCACCAGCTGCTAGGCAATAATGATATGATAAATCATTAAATTATTAAATTTGTGATCGCTTCTTCAACATGATATCATCTACATAAACACCAATGAGAGTATCATTGTTTACAGCATCTACTACACGATAAGAAAATATATACAAGTTGTTCATTTAAAAAAATTCTTCAGATAAAAATTGGGCGATAATTGCTGGTGATTTTTTTTGAAAATTAAAAGAATTTTAACGATTTTGTAATTTATCGTGAAACTTTCTGCTTTATTGAACAATTATTTCAGCTACGAGAATTACATATAGTCTGGTTAATATATTCAGTCTGGTGATTTAATTATAATATATAATTTGGTCTATTAAGTTAAAAAAAATCAAGCGTCAAAATTGAAGTCAATTATAATTGTTAAATAATCATAATAATTCTCCCCAATATCTTATATATACTCGTCTAGGGTATTTCAGTTTGGTTAATGCGTTACTGTATAGTTTATATTGTATTGTACTTTTTTATATCCAGTGATTTGAGTAGAATTGTGTCTACTTTAGAGTAGACTGTCGACAGTCGGTCGTACATAATATTAATCTGTTATTATTAATAAATATTGTGTATTAACGTAATAGGCGTGAATAAATTGCGAACGCCGGGTCAGGATGTATGGAGTGCCGTTATGCACGACCGACTGCTCTGTGCTGCAATTCACTGGTATGATTTCTCACCAGATCCAGTTACTTTCATATGCAAATGATAGTCTCGCAGATGTCTGTCAATTTATCGTTTCCAATCGTGAAAAGGGTCAGGGGCCGGCTAGGGGCTACTAGGATCGCCCACGACAGTGGCTTACGCGAAGTTTGTTTTGACTGTACTATACGCGATCGCGACACTTTCGACATCAGTTTTTGATATCATGACACAAACAAACCTTGACGAATGCATTATAAAAGTGGTGGAACGTTTAGACTACCATGATATTTCTTGCAAAGAATACCAGCGAGACACTATCGCAAACTACACAGAGGGAAGAGATGTGTTCGTCAGCGTACCTTGTTGGCATTCGTCTTGTCAATAAGAACTCGTTTCGAAACCAGGGATCCCCCACTTTCAGCCATTCTCTGAGCCTCTCCAATGACTCTCGCTTAGTTTGTTGAAATTTCTTTCTGAACTCATCCATGTTTTGCTGAGACGCTCTCAGTCCACATTTTCTGCACGCATACGAACTGACAAGATGTAGATCAATCATCTCTGTCAAAACAAATTCGATTTCTTCGCATGTCGCTAAACAGCCACTTCCAGTTTTCTATATTTTCTTTTTGACTGCCGTAAACAATGCACGTTGATTCCTTGGTTTTGGACGATTTAATAGTTTTCTTTGCTATTTTAGTTGAAGTGACTGTATTCATTGTCTTTATAATGTGAACAACCAACGCATTCAGCGGGTCATTTAGAATAGATTTACATACATTATGTTAATATAATTTATTTCTTGACGTCTGCATCAACTATGAATTATTCATATCAACAAGAAACCTGCAGACGGGGACAGTCTCTCGGGACTAAAGTCCCTCGCGTGAAATGGTTCGCATTTCCCTTCGGCGTTCGAATGTCTGGGAAACACACTTATTAGGCCCGAGGACTGTCGACATTCTAACTTGAGAGTTTCTAGATGTTGCTTCTTTGTCTGAAAACATATCGCTTGTTTTCAATAGTAATAAATATGGGGTCTGTTTCACCATTATTAGAGTGACACGTACCTTTTTTCAAAAATATACTCTTTGATGTTGTCTCTGTATTGTTATACCGGTAGTAGTGTCAATGATATCGATATTCATTGAGGAAGATGTGATAATTTGAAACAGGCCGCGAGCTATAATAAGTTTCGTGTCAATATTCACTTCACCAAGCATGACAAATTTTTTACCAATAACCAGCAGACAACTTGTTAAAAATATAATATAATTTTACAATTTCAAACGTTGGTCTTATGGGACTAAACACTTACAAGGATGTTATTGTTGACCTTGTTTTTGGCCTTATTTTGAATAGTTGTATACGTGAATCTGACAACATTGCGTTATGCTAGTAGTTTCGCAGTAATTAATGACTGATATCGGTGTCACATTTATGGCATTTCCAGCCATATATCATTCCACTTAACAAAATGTACACGTCAAAATATGCCTGACAACAATCGAAAAACCAATCTGCAAGAACAGGGGCGGCGGCCCAAGATTTTGCATGGGGAGAGAAATCTGCTCACCAACCTTGCGCCGAAAGCGCGACCTTGCATAACATAATCAGAACAATTATAGGAAAAGATATATGAACCCCTCGGAGACGTGAGAGTAAATAAATGTTTAAACGGTCTTTCTAAATTCAAGTCACAATGAAAAATGACGATTCACTCGAAACAGATGCTAAGGTAAGTACAATAAATCATTTCTGTGTATCCATATGCCTGTGACCGTATTATAACAATGTTTCAGCAGTTCTGTATCTGAGCACAGGAATATGTTTTCAGGGATTGTGAACGAAAACGCACAGTTTAAATTACTTCAAATTTAATAGTTATATAATCAATGTACTCACCTTGTATGTCTAGCGTCCAATATTACTTGCTAACGGTGCTGTCAATAATGCCTACCGTATTGAAAAGTTTACGGTGCCGTGACATCTGTTTGCTTGTTTAAATGTATTGCATATGATACACCAATAATTTGAGGTTTTAAATATTACGCCGTGGTAATTTCAGTCCTGATTTATTCAACAGCTGTTGTCATATATAAATTGTTAACACATATATTACGATTCGAATGTAAAATATTGCTTTTAAAATGATTCAATTTCCCATGGTAATTTAAAATTATGCTGCATGAATATTCAGGCGTTCTTCCAATAAAATATATTCCCATCATTGCAAAATGGTATTCTAAAGGTTAGATGTAGATTCGTGGGCACTTGTGAGTGTTTGTTTTTTGCTTTTTTTAACATGGTGAAAAATGGTGAAATAAAAATGATGACGGAGTCCCCATATTATGCACTGTATATATAAGTTTTTTACAAAACGATAATAAGTTTAAATTTGGGATTTTACAGATATTTTTATTTTGAGCATCAGCACAATTTTTCTGAATGAATTGTTATGCAAATTATCCATTATCTCCACTTGTGTTTTTCAGTTTACCAGGAAAGTTCAAATCTAAATAGCTCTCACAATTATTGTTTATTTCACGTGAAACTTTCATATTATGTTCGTCAGTTGTTTATTAACAAATGGGCGTCCAGTTTATTGACACTCGTTTGTCGTCAGAGTCTAAGGTTAACCTGAAGATTTCCGACCGCTCCCGCATTAACACGTTTCGTGTACATATGTTTCGTGTGTTTTTTGTGTATTTTGACCTTTCGTTTGCTTTCGTTTTTGAGGCAAGTTACAGAATTTTTAATATTTCCTGTTTTCGTCTACGATACTTATGAATACATAATATTATATGAATAATAATAGTAGTATTTTTATTATGTTGATTTTTCTCCGAATTTGTAGAACTTTTTACAATTTGAGGGCAACGGACGAAAAGCCGTCCTCGAAATTATAACTTTGCGTAGAGAAATCAGCGAGCACGATAAAATACAATTTAAGTTGCAGTTTATAGTAGATTGAAGCTTTATTCCTGGTTTTTAGTGTGTGTTTTATTTTTAAACCTCTTTTACAAGAAATTGGCGATGCGAAGGTCAAAATTGGAAGAACCCGTTCTACTACCAGCTGTTCAAATTCACAGCATAATTAAGTTTTCCTTTTTGATTTACTGCATTGTTATGCAGCTTTCAAAAATGAAACTTGTGACATCAACGTTTATATATATTTACTTAATCTTCGTAGTTTCTAATATTATGTACCATTTTAAAATCTTATGTCTTATAGGCAAAAAGCCTTCAAGAACAACGAAGTACAAACAAATGTTGTATAGAGGGCGTGTACTCGCTCATCCTACGTCCCAACTCAGAAACTCTGACACTGGAAGTTAGACAGTCATCAAGTCTGGGAAAAAAACAACTCATGTTTCATTTATTTTTGAAATCATTAGTGTGGCTCAGTTACAGTGCGTTTTAAGTGCAACACTGTTACAGATACCTGCGTTACATAAACATGTTTAATTTATTCATTATATTTGCTGATCTTTCATGCAAATCTGACCCGTGATTTTTTGATATATGTAATGAATTGCAACTACATTATTTCTTTTGATTTTTTAATTTGATTGATTGAAGTCTAGTCAAGCAGCTAAGAAGCTTACTCTGTAAATATTGTAATCTCTACCATAACCCCATTTACATTTTTGACTATTATTAAAATGATCGCAGCTGTTGCAGTGAACACTGCGGGTATACCTTATTTAATGGATGAATAATGTAACTAACGGAATGTAACTAACCCTCCGTCCAAAAATGCAGGGAAACTACACAAAACAAAGTGCTTTCTAATTGAAGCATTTAAGTATCTCAACTATATCAATAATAAGATGTTATTCTTCTCAGGGATGACACACTGTATTCTCTATCTGGCAATCAAGTGAACAAAGAGACAAAAAAACAAGAAATCCATGATGCATAGTCGAGTAATCATTATAATCGCTTGTTTCATGAATCCACTTTAAAAGCGCTATAGCTTATTAATTTATTTTATTACATCGATAATATAAAATGATAATGATACACCTCATTTAGTATACAATATAAGAAAAGCTTAAAGAAGCAGAAGAGAAAATGGATTTTTTTTAATATCCTAGTAGCATGGTGGTAAATCACATATAATTTTCATCGAAGATTTTCAGTAAATATCTTAGTTTAGTATAGTTATCTGCATAATGAAATCTAGAATTTAGATAGCCCTGATTCGTGGATGATATTTACGTTCTGCCTTAGGATTTCCACGCAAACATCACCATCGATCCTGCTGCAATAGAGACGCGGCAAATTGATACGCACTGTTTTTGACCAATGAATTATCAACTAAACGCAACCTAATTTGTCTATAAATACGTCTTCTACATCCAACGCATATTTTATTTCATTACGTCACATATAATGTAAACGAATAATAAATAAGTAAATAAGCCGCTGGTGTCGCTGTATAATTTCAATATGTTTAGTGACTCGCAAAGGTTTAGTGTGGTAGAAAGCATGTACAGTCATCTAAGAGCCACGATATACATAGTGGGGGTCTAGGCCAAAAATATGTGCCTGTTGCGTTCGATAATAAATGTTTTCTTTTAATAGTTGTACCTTTAAATAATGTTCATAAGATATATCTACGAAATAACCGCATTATAATTATGAGCATGTTGTGTATGCAGCATGCATGCTTCAGATCGCTATTCCACAACGCATGACAATGTTGTCATATAGTACAAAGTGTTGTCGATCTGGAGAGTGTAATGCCACTCACCCAATTCGTGCTTTCTGGCATCACCACCCATTGTCTAATAACTCCCTCCACAACTATCTACATTCTCTCTCCTTCAACACCAAGACACAACCCTATTGTCCTTGAAAACAAACAATAGGCAATGAATAATCCGTGACTACGAAAGTGAACTTCACAAATTTATAGTGCTGGTTCCTTAACTATGGATATTCGTTTATAACATTTTCAATGCAATGCATTTTACATCATCACATTTTATATGATATTAATTCCCAGTTCCCATCCAATAAACATACATGCATCCGAATACAATGAATCCTACGTCAATTTATAATATTACGTATCATACTATCATGTACTTCAATGTGCAAGAAGAATGTCAGGAATTTTCAATTTGTTTTAACGTAAATTGGTTCGGGCTTTAAATCAAAAAACGATAAATGTAACTGTGACGAATGTGTTTGATGTGGTGATGTACGGCGAGAAGTAGTTTAATATTCTGATGTCACCATGAAGTGTGTGTGGAGTTCATTTTTGTTAATGAAATTGGAATCTTTTAAAAATGACCGATTCCCTTTACTGGTGTGTACAAGTGTTTTAGTGTACATGAATGTTTATTTGTGTTGTTTTTGGTCGATATATTCTGAGATATATACCGTGAAATTGCGTCAGACGTTCAAAATATATATTGCATACATTGTTGAACCTATTATAGCTAGGTGACGCTGGGAAGACTCAAACAATGTAATAATACGAACTATGTATATGAAGACTGTATGGGTGAACATATTATATACCACGGTTCGTTTTTTCTAGAACTGTGTACCCCTGTGCGTGCATCCGATTACGAAAGCATTGAGTGACTGTCAGCTTGTACAAATTTTCGTCTGGTTTTTCCACGAAAAAAGGCATAAGGAATTAAATAGATTGTGATTTAATGTGTCTTGGTTGGGATCCTTGAACGATACGATTGATTACAAACTGGTGCGATTACCAAATACACTTTTATATATCATGTATGATGTAACTTAAAATGCCTGTGCAATGCCCACCTCCACGTTTCCCATTTCAGATCTGTGTCCCACTGAAATGGGCAGTTATTGTTTGTTTTTTTGAAAATGATTACTTGTATCCAAGTAAATTTGGGATATTTCTCGTGTTGTAGCCACGCCCACCTATCCTGAAACGGTCGACTGTTTCCGATTCTCGCCGAAAGTGCGCCACCAAATGACAAAAATGTGAGAGGAAGTCATACCCCCGAGCCGTAATAACACTGGTCATTCGGTATAGTTTTAAACGATATACATTTTTCGTTCGGCGTTTTTCTTTTTTTTTTTGTCTATTTTTGTTGAGAGAGTTTTTAGATGTTGTGTTGTGGGCAGTTGCAGTGAAACGTATAGTCATAGTGTATGTATTCACACGTTTCTAATCGATCCGAAGGTGCGACATCAGTGGACGAAAGCCACTTAACCTCAGATTCTTTTTTGTGTGCGGAAAAACTATCCTCGTCCATGAAAAAAACAAAAACAACAAGGTTTAAAGAGAAACGCCGACAACGTAAACCTGGCGCAACACGTTTGAAAGAAATAGATTTCGGACCAGCCCATGATCACCGAGGCAGATTTTAGAAGAGAGAGAGACGTCCGGCAAGTGTTTCAAATGAGTTGACTTTTTTTTGCGATCGTGATTATCGTTTTATAGAAACCATTTAGTTCCTGTTAAGTAAAAGGTAGCAATAATTTTGACAGTGACACGAAAACGAAGCGTCGGACAAACAGGAAATTACACAGCCCTTACACACTGCTAATTGTTTTCATTTTCGAAGGCTAAAAGTTTCTGAATTGCTTGGTGATTGGTGTTGAATGTCGAATTCTGTTCTTGTTTCACCTCCATGCTTGCAGCTTGATCTGCGTAATAATTTATGAAATACGAATCCGGGCTTGGTCAATGTGTTTCCACCAAAGTTTTAATATGATGTTATAATTATGACAATCACGCCATGGATCACGCTAACTCGAATCCACTCTGAATTTATCTGTATGTGTATCGATCTCGATTATTTTTGTTATCCAATTAAACGCCGCTTTTAACGCACTTGCCCTCGTCGTGACCCGATGCGTTCACCTATTTCAACAAAATGTCAATTTATTTCCACACAACTGTCATTTATTTAGAAACAGTGATTTGTCGTTTTTTTAATTATTTTATAGTGATCACTATAGTCTAATGTTTAGGATGTCAAAATATGTTCTCTTTTATTTTAATTTTGAAAGTTTTACTCAGACGATCGATGAAATAAAACAGTGTAGCGACGTGCCTAGTAACCTGCTAAATAACGAGATAATACCGACGTCAAATTCTATTTTGTTCAGCAACAGTGTACAAACGTAAGCCGGTGTCGGTGACGATCACGGTGACCAGCTACACCAGAACGGACATATTTCGCATCTAACTCAACCCCATGCAACAAAAATTAATACTATGCGTTCATTGTGGTCCATTCTCCCTCGACGAACAAGTACATAAGTGACAATTTAGTCAAAGACGAGAAAACTGCACAAGAAATTTGCCTTATTTACACGTATCGGCAATGCAAGCTGCCATGCGACTTCCCCTTCTGACGTCACAAGAGGAATTTCTCTATGCACATGAGAAGCTAATGAGGAGCCTCGTTCTAAAATACACAAAAATAAAGTTGCCGTAGACTGAGTTTAAAACACATTTTTTCACTTAAAAAATAATTCATGCTTAGAAACAAAAATTAATAATATTTATGTATCAATGGATAATTTTAGGCGTGATAATAGCAGCCATTTCACAGGCACTTTAATATACAGGATGTACTACAGTTATTATTAGTTTGCAAAGTTTACGATGAATCGCATCAAACTTTACACATGCAGTAACTTGAATTTTGTATTGTAACCTCAAAGGCAATACTAAAACATTCAAAGCTTAATAGTATCAACTTTAATAAATTCAATAAATTTAATTTTATGCATGCAGGAATATCCGCTTAGTACATGATACAAACTATCATATATAATTTGTTTCATATATTTAAATCATTCGACTCAATTGAATTTATTCGTACAATATACAATATCGCATTTTGACGTGCGTTGAATGTTGTACAAACTACAGTAATATAACTACGCTCAATTAATACACATGATTAAGTGTTATCTGCAGCATTTTGTTAAATATTAAAAATGTAAATTGTGATAAAAATGTTTTATGATATCACTATTTTCATTTCAAATACATCAGCTTGTCTATTATGCTATTATGGTTCTAATAGTTATTTACGACCATATTACGAAAGTGATTTCAATTTTCTCTGTTATTATTTATATATTATTCATTGGATTTAATGCATATGCCATATAATAGGAGTTGGTGAGGGTTGGTCGACACTCATAAACAGTAAGCGCATACAGAATAGCAGTCACTGATTTGAAAATGAATCTTTAAAACAAGTAATTAAAACTGTTTAAAACGCATTTAAACGTATTTATCACTCATAGAAATGATCCTGAACAATCACCACACTACCTCTGATCTAAATAGCGTTAGCTGCGTTGATTAGCAGTGGAGAGATTGGTTAATAACAACACACAAAAGATCTTATTGCCATAGTAAGCAAACATCGTCACCATTGGCTGACATGGTGATACTCTTTTCGTGAATTCTTGAATTATATTACGAAACAATAATTGTTTTTGCAATATCACAACTTTGATGTATCAATTATTACAATCATTATATTGCCCCTATAACTGATCCGGTCTAAATTGCAGCTTGTCATTATCGCCAATACAGAGTAATTTACATGCAAATATTATTTTGATGCTCATTCCAACTATGAAGCACAACGAATTTAAATTCTAGTGATCATTATGTCGCGAAAGATGTTTATCAGAATGCTCTGATGTGATTCAAGACACCACCACCGTTCAACGAATGCAGAAAATCAAACTCCACAAGCCCACGAGGTACGCTACATTTCTCGATGTCAAGTTGTACTTAGTTTTTAGAGCGTTTATAATAGTACATACAATTATTTCGTCCACGAGCGGTGCTTGGGATGGATACTGATAAGTGTTACTAACTAATGAATTATGAATTTATCAAACTAGTAACACATAATGTTATTATCGTTATTACAGGATATAGAATCATAGATCATACAATTATATGCCATCTCTTCTGTGTCTATCCCGTCTGTGTCATGCCATGTCTTGACATGCTGTATTGTTCGAAAATTATGTTACTGTTCGAATTAAGTCAATATAGATTACTGTAAACTTAAGGTTACGGCATGACAATTAGTTTGAGAATGAGGGCGATATTCGTATGGCACGATTCAAGCATTTAATGCGTATAAACTATAGAAGTAAAACATGTATTTACCACAAAGCCAGAATGAAAATGAAACATAAAACACAGCAAAATAAAAGTTCACAAAACAACTTCACAAATTAACTTAAAATAGTACATGCTTACCATCCTCTGTTATCAATTTCAATAATTAGGGCCAAACACAACTGTATGAATCTATTAAGTAATTAATGTACCACCTACTCTTATAGTGTTGTGTTGAAACAACCATTGAACTCGGAGCAGCTGTTGTACAACACAATTTATTAATAACCACCATCACCAACATCTTGTTTTCCACACAACTTGTTCCGGGTGACAATAGGTTAAAGTGAACCACATTCTCGCCTAGATGTTCAAATTGACTGATAAAATTTTACTTAAATAAATAAACATACATATGATCTATGATATTATATAACTGCCCACCAGGGGCCATATATTGTCCATATGAATGATGGTGAATGACCATCTTTACAAATTCTATAAATGTTATGTAATATATTTCATGGCCCTAAGGGTTATATGCTATCACTCTGTGATTGCGTAATCCAATGTTTTTGATGAGATCCACAAATTGCTTATTTTGGATCGATTGGTTTACCGCGTAATGTATGTTATTATAGTAAAATGACACCAGTCTTTCCAGTGGTTCTCGGAAGAACATTATTTTTGTATATTTCTCCATATCTGTTTTAGTGAGGTTCAACAATTCCATCATATTTGTATTCTCCATGCACTTCATAATCGGCAAAAAGTATGTCCAAGTTGTGGATGTCACTTTGGGCACCAACTTGAACATGAACTTGTATTTTTCCGATACGACAAAGTAAACCGTGTGTAGTTTTATATTTGTCACATTATTGTTCTCAGCTTGTATCTCTCGTTATACACTTGCTTTCCGGCAGTTATAAACCCCTTTCTCCGTGTCTGATGAGTCTCTACAATTGAATACTCAATATAAATCATTGTTTTTCACCAAACATCAAGTCAACAATAGGTGTTAGGGACCTTATCCATTCTCGAGACGAAATTCCTAATCGGAGCACTAATCCATTATTATATTCGTTGTATGATTATTTTAATCCAGTTTTTGTTTAACAAAAAACTCACGATATTGTATATTAAACATATCCTCTTCCCAAAATCATATCTATCCAGCCATAACAGCAATCAGTCGTATAAGTTGATTCGAAACACTGGTTATTGTCACATTATGCATCCCTGGCCCCACGTTAGCTGTAATATGGAAAATTCTTGGAACGTTCCATTCCCAGTAAGCATTGATTTCGGTGTATTTCATAGCATCAACGGAAATTCTAGCACGACCACATTCTATGCAGCCTAGCATCGCGACATGCACATTGAATACTGTTACATTTATAATTGGTTCAATGTTTATAGGAAATACTATGGTTTCCCGTTCACTCTTACACCCCCAGAATGTTTTGCTGTCTATTCTGCTTTCCTCACCCTCAGTTATTGGTTCCATCACCGCCCAACCTTTATCATATCGAAGTGGTGTCAAAGGATGATAATTGCCTTCTTTTGTTTTTAGTGACGACCAGCATTGTGGGAATAGTGTGTGTGATTCATTGAAGAGTGGAAGAGGAAGTTTTTCAATACCATAGATTTGTTCTGATGATAAAATACTTTGAAAACCACTTTCTATTAAATGAATAAGTAATATCGCAGCTATTTTGTGTGGCATGCGACCTGGATGATTGTTGTCATTGCCTAATAGTACATCCTTTCGGCCTTGTCTCAGCAATGTGCACAACGCATTGGGCAAACTTACAGACGGTATTTCATAATGGACAGACAGTGGATCGCTTCCAGCTTTTTCAAGGACCCTGCATGGACGTGGTGTGGTAAATAGTATTCGATGGACAAAATTAACATAAAATAGCTGCGGTTGCTGTGGTAATTCTAAGATTTGCCTTGTCAAATCTTCTTGGAAATCAGGCCCAATGTTTACAAGGTAATCATTGAGAGCTAATTCCCATACAATAATATCCATATCTGATGCGTTGAGGTGTGCTTTTAAACAATATCTATAGTAACTGCTATCTGCTGCACCTATTGCTGCGTTATGTATTTCAATACGGCCATTCAATACAGGACACAGCAAATCTTCCAGTATACTGGAATAAATAAACTCTTCTCCCCCGAGACCGCCACCTGCCGAAATAGATCCTCCTATTATACCAATTTTAAGAGACCGATTTTGCGATAATACGTCATTTAATATATTATGTAGTCTACGCATTGATCCATTATGTGCAAATCCTGCCGACACCATGTCGCTTGTCATGTTCAACGTGCCACAGAGTTGGTTCAGCCTCACCGATAACTTGTCCAATCTTTTCAAGATGCCCTTTGGGTGCAGAGACTTACGCGAGTATATATTTATCGTCGTGTTTTGTTGAAATTCTTTGAGGTTAAATTGAACTAAATTTGAATATGATGTGATGAATATAACTAAGCAGGAAGTGGTTACCATGACAGTAATAACGTGCTGCAGCGTCCTTGCCATTATTTGCTCACAAGCAGGAACGTTAATTCTGTGAAAGGTTAATTCTGAGTTCTAAAGCTTATCCTAGCATTCAAATTCACCTGCAAATAGACGTAGAAATGAGGAAAGGCAATAAAAAAGTATATCCTACATTCAATGTAATCTAAAAAAAAATTTAAATTTGTTCCTCTGTTGTGGAATTAATATATTATAACATTTCTTACCCGTATCGCGGCATTGGTAAAGATGATGTTATATTGGTGAATACTCCAAATGCATTTATTTATTTGCTTACCTCCATATGCCACCAGCATGTGACCAACTATTCTAAGTCGAAGTATAAACAATATTAATGCCGATATACAAATAGGGATTACGTTAACAATGTAATATGACGTATTTAATTGAAAACACGAGTCATATTACATAATTCTGATCCATTGCTATTCAATTGTATTTTACCTCTTGCAAACACGTGTTGTCTAATAAGATACATCTCATGCAGTGTTCAAATTATGGGGTTTTCTTTAACTTAATTCATCGTCTAATGTATACCCGGCATTTAGTTATGTTATCCAGGAAGCAGTTTATACAAACACATTAATGAAGGTAAGTCCCAATAGTACGGTAAAACCAGTTATTTTCACTAGCATGGTTGCTTGTATTTTTCAAATATACCACAATCCCATACTGAAAATAGTTGATGATGTAAATCATCATATGAATATGTGCCCCAGATGTTACCGGAGAAATGATCCAGTTGGCGCAAAGAGCAAAGTTTAAGTGGTATCAATTATGATATCGCAACAGCTGGAATTGGCGGCAATGGATTTTCTATCACTTGAAGAAGCAAGGGGAGGTGTTAATGACATATTGGTTAGCATCAATTATTCAACCAAATTCGCCATGATGATACTAATCCAGACCACAATAACAACACTATAACATCTGTATGAAGGTTTTATAGATGTCCAGCGAGAATACACTAAGACCAAGGACAAAAGTTTTGGATCAAACATCATCGAAGAACTGATTTTTTGACTAAAACCCTAAGACAATATACCTGGTGGATCTATAACGAAAAATGTTCAAGATCTGAAGGAATGCGTTGAGTATTCTCAAAAGCTTGCAATGAAAAACAATCTGACTCAGTACGACGAGTCTCAGTATGACAAGAATGTTCAAGAAGTAATGTTTGAGGAGGGTGACTGTGTTATGATGTGAATCTCCAAGAAAAAGTTAAGATCACCGATAGATGGGAGGGTTATGACTACTGGTGGATCAACATCAGGAATTTAGCCAGATATAGCCCCTATTTAGGTTCTAAGGAAGTGTGACTAATTGTCGTGTTTCATGACATGAGGGAAATGAGCGTGACGCCTTGTGAATAATTATTCTGATTCTGATGTAGCAGCATATAGTAGTTAAGTTGCATGTCATGTTGCATGTTGCATGTCATTTCAGAATACTGTCAATACAGTAAGTTTGTCCGTAGTATTACGTTCATTACCAGTGTGTTGTCAGTCTTTATGCTGTATTGAGCCCCATTGCAATCTTTAGGATGTTCCTGGAAGGACAATCATTATTTCTACTATTTCTATTGAAACATGAACGATTTACCTGAGACTCTGATACTGGGTTAGAATGTCTAGTTAACGAAATTAGGTAATACATTGGGATATGTACGTTTCTGATCAGAATGGCCTGAGCCAACTTTCCAATAGGATAGATCATTAAGTGTGATAGATAAATGGTGAACGTGAAAATTGAATGAGGTTGTTTGTGATGTATAATTGTGAGGTTTTTATAGGTTTTTATTGTTCTATCCTTATCGTGGAATTGTTGTCCTGATGCGGTTTTTATCAACATCAACAATTTGGGTATGAAGTATCTTATTTTAGACCTTCAGTCCGTCATGTATATGTAAATGCTAGATGTGACCTTTGTGATTTTGTTAGTGCCGAGCTGAACTACGAACCAAGTGACACAAAACATGCTAGGGCCACTCTATGAAGAAGGAATGGAAAACATCTAAGATGGCGATCTATCATCATCTTCACGATGCTCTTCAGGTCAAAGCGAGCTAATCCGTGGAGCAAAGTTGACTCTAGCCGTGGATAATACCGATCAACTCCATGTATCGTAGTGGTCGGAACTTTACTAATTCAAATTCGACAGATATTCGACTATTTTACTGTCCGTTTCAGAAATCACCATGGAGCTACATAATGACTATGTGCAGTTTAGCCTGAATTGCCAAAAAAATTTCTAATGGTTTCGGATTTATGTTGTGTGTCACTACGATTATTCCCGACATTAAAACACATTTAACATTAAAGGCATAATTTTCGAATTTTTAATCCGAAGTCATGATAATATACGTTTGGTTCTCATAATTGTTGACAATAATAACTTTTGTGACGTCACGCCTATATTGGATTTACTGTTGACATTTATTGGAGTCTAAACGTGTTAAGAACGAGTGACATTTCTCCAGGGATACTGTACAACCAGCTTTACCAAGACCACGCACCTCGGTCCATGTTTACCAAGAATACGAGCTACTACTATACCGGAAGTCGTGCTGATGTACTTTAACTGGCGAACTTGAGTGTTAATTTTTTGAATCAAAGATAGAACATATGGAACAGTGAGAGAACATTATATTGCTTAGACAATAAAATAACTACAGGGTGTTTAGCTACTTGGTTCAGCTTAAGGTGTGATCGGTGTTACACGTGTGAATACTTCATGAATGTTAGGAGCATGTATTCGTTATGCATCACTGCTCTTTCTAATGAGTGGTAAGTCATTCCATATAAATAACGCAGTATGAAACCGTTCTTCGGCCCATACACAATTTATACTTTGAAACAAAACGAGGGAACGAAAATGGCAAGGGCGACTTATATGTTCATAACAGTTTAGGATTATGTTTGTTTTCTCAAAAATACTATCATTATATATCTGTCATTCTGGATTCTGGAATTATCACATTTTGTAGTTATCATCAATAAAGTTTAAGTGTTCATTTCAACCATAGAGAACAACGTAGAATTTGAATTAGTCTAGTGACAAAAGAGACATCAAATTATAGAACGTCACAAATAACTAAAAAAAATAATACCTTCCAACTTCCGACTTACCTATATTAAATTGTCTTGTTATAGATTTGTTATATTCAACCACAAACCGTATATTCATTATAATTAACACAATAGCTGTTATTTTGTGGATCATGTTGCGTTAGCCATGTAGCTAGAGAGTCTCTCCATGATAGAATGTCAAGATTCGACTTCCGTTCACCAACTGCGGGAAATCAAACTCCATCACGAGGTACGTCGCCACATACCTCGATTTCCAGTTGTACTTAATAGAGCGATATAAGAGTACAAACAATTAATTCTCCCATGAGCTGGTGCTTGGGATTGGTACTGACATGTTTCTAACTAATGAAGTATGAACTTAATAAAGCAGTGAAATAATAAGCCGTAAAACCATTTCCTTCAGGTAATGTCATGACTATCTCATTATGGATTGAATTAAGTCACCTCAGGTAGTCGTCTAATTAGGTCAATGGCATATACCATAATGTTTATGTACGAATCGGCAATTTGAGTCCCAGATTATAGTTGTGGTTGGATATCACAATAGAAGGCATGATTCGTATTATAACGAGTCTGTTAGTGTATATACACTACACAGTTACGAGACAGAGTGACAATGAGACAGTATTCTACAGCAAAGAATACTCTTTATTCAGGAATACGACGTCATAGAGCGTTAGGTAGAAAAAACTGAAGAATTACATTGAGTCACAGTTTATATAGACAGTCAAGGATTCACACCATGTAAATAAACTCTGACTGTATTTACTTTCGAAGTGTGTTCATCCTTACGTTAGTACATGTTGTACTAATACCCTCGAATAGTTAAATGGCTTGAAGCAGTCAAGGTTGTGTGAGTTTATCATGGGATTACATGTAATTTCAAAAGAATACAACAATAATGTGACTCAAAGCGAAAATACAACGAATCAATAACGAATAATTTATAGGAATAAAGTGTTCCCAATACCTTTCACCCACATTTATGTATCCGTAAATTATTTATTATTGTGAAAACTGTATTTGTGTGTGTTACATTATGCCTAATAATGTTGTTTAATAGAAAACACACATGTAATATAATATAATATAATATAATGCTCATGTTTCAAATTTGAGGAGCGTGCTTTCAATTGAAAAAGTGTGTTTCAATGAAATCCATGAAAGTGCTCCGATAATTTATAGTGTAATTGGCTGCCATTAAAACAAATGATCAGATTTCCTAGATGTTAACAACTATGTTTTTATTTTATGCTCAGTTAACTAAATGGGGATACAAAATTATATGGTCGCCAAACTGTTGTTGCAAAATGCCCATTTTCGGGCCATTTACCATATATTGCTTCCGAAGTTGAGACATATGTAGTTTGATAAGTATTTTTGATAATTAAGAACTATAAAGACATTTTGATTATTATTGTTCATTTATACGAAATAATGTTTTAACATTATTATTTATTTATTTACAATTACTTAGGCAGTCTAGCTCCGAAAAAACAAGTCGACGACATGTGTATCGTAATATCTTATGCTGTAGACACTCAGTTCTGGCCTTGAGTAATTATAGTCTTTCGTTGTTGCAGAATATAGAATCATAGATTATGTAATTGTATGTCGGTTCTTCTGTGTCTATCTCGTGTTAATAGTCATGCCATGCTGTGTTGTTTGTGGCGCCCAAAAATTATTTTATTA